AGAGAGAGAGAGAGAGAGAGAGAGAGAGAGAGAGATTATCAAGGTTAAAATGAGGTCAAAAAGCATTTTTGTCAAAAGTGAGGGACAGAGTAGTTATTTATAGTATTACTTTAATGGTAATTATTAATAGTATTGAATTCACTGGTAAAGCACAGGTGTGTTCACTGATGTCTCCATATATAATTTACTAATTCACAATAAACTCATTAATAATTGTGTTTAATAAATATGTGTCGTATAAACCAATGGCAGGCAATGAATAGGGATTATAAAAGTGTCCTAAAATAGGCCACAGTTTCAGGTATTGAATGCTATTTTGAAAGTACAGTGCATTTGATTTAAACATTTTGCAGATTTCAATACAAAATTTGGAAACTATTTTATCATTGTACATTTTCATTAACTTATTGCTAATTCGAGATTTTTTAATTGTAGTTTAAATATACTGTAATTATTGTTTAAAATGTGTTCACAAGTAATGAGTGTTTCGTTGATTGAAATGAAGAGTAAATTATATATGGAGACATCAGTGAACACACCTGTGCTTTACCAGTGAATTCAATACTATTAATAATTACCATTAAAGTAATACTATAAATAACTACTCTGTCCCTCACTTTTGACAAAAATGCTTTTTGACCTCATTTTAACCTTGATAATCTCTCTCTCTCTCTCTCTCTCTCTCNTGCAATTCATGTAAAATCAGTGATAAAATGCTAAACAATTGTCACATCATTACTAAATCTGATGATTATTTGCACTGTTTTTGGCCTAAATGTCAATACAAAACCAAAATTCGTGGTCATTTAACTGAACATCAATTAATTCATTCATCAATAAAACCATTTAAATGTGATTTTAATAATTGTAATAAAAGTTATAAAACTAAAGAACAATTAATTCGACACAAAAATAGCATTCATTTAAATGTGAGAGTTATTTGTGATTTCAATGAATGCCACAAAAGTTTTATATCAGAACATCATTTAATTCAACACAAAAGAAACATTCATTTTATTGATATCAAAGATTATAAAGTTTTTCACTGTTTTTGGCCTAAATGTCAATTTAAAACAACAACTAAAAAAATATTTACTACACATCAATTAATTCATTCTTCGATAAAACAATTTAAATGTGATTTTAATAATTGTAATAAAAGTTATTTACATAAAACTGATTTGAAAGTTCATATACAAAACATTCATTTAAAAGTGAGATTTATTTGTGATTTCAATGAATGCCACAAAAGTTTTAAAACAAAAAGAATTTTATTTCGACACAAAAGTTGTGTTCATTTAAATGAAAGGAAATTCAAATGTAATGAAGAAAAACAAAAGTTTTAAAACAAAAAGAATTTTATTTCGACACAAAAGTTGTGTTCATTTGAATGAAAGGAAATTCAAATGTAATGAAGAAAATTGTGGCAAAAAATTTAATTCAAATCAGGAACTCATTCGACACAAACGCATACATTTGGGAGAAAAACCATTTGTTTGTTATTTCAATGATTGTAACAAAAAATTTCTTCAAAAATCTCATCTAAAAGATCACATGAAAAGACATCTGAATATAAAACTTCATAAATGTATTCATAATAACTGTAATCAACGCTTTGTTACGAAAGGGGAATTAAAAAAACATTTAAATTAAAGACATCAATAAATTGTGAACAAACGTTAATTAATTATCGAAACATTTAATTTACAAGATCAAGATTCATTTTAATATAAGATTTATTTGTGATGTCTATGAATTAATAAAATGTCTGTAAAATTAATTAGTCTATCATTAATGTAATTTAAAATGAATTTATTCCTATAACCAAAAACGTATAGCAATTTGATTGGAATTTTATTATTAAAACTTTATAAATAAAATGTATAGTAAAATAATATGATTTTATGATTATTATTAAATTATCAAAATACAATTAATTATAGATAATTAAAACATTTATATTAAAAGAGATTTATTTGTAAAAAAAATAATTTCGAGTATAATATGTGACACAAATTAAGTAAATAATTACTAATTATTAATTAGTTTTAAAAAAACGAGAATAAATTGAATTAATTATACAACAAAATCAAATACAAATGCAATTATCATAAAATGACATATCGGGCAACAAATTGCCCACAAAACAAGGCCTCAATCACTCAATTCCTGTGCTTTTTAACCACTTTATGCGCCCCTCGAGTGTCAGCGATGGGCAAACATTTGGTGGTCTTGAAGGTCGCGCACCGACACAAACGTGTTGCCACAACGCGAGCACTGATGCCTATCCGCCGGGTGTGCGGTCGCCGACGGCTCGTACAGCTCAGACATGATGTGGACGGACTGTATGTGACCGTAGAATAGCAGCTGATCGGTAAACCCTCGATGACAGCCCACGTACGGACACAGGTATCCAATTGATGAGTGAGTGGTTACGGGGAGGGCGTCGGCCAATGGATACGCGTTAACTGACGGCGAGGGCGACGCCTCCCGGGGTTTGTCGCACTTCCGGTGACTCTTACTGTGTTTGCGAAACAGTCGCCGGGTTTCAAATGTTTTGTCGCAGCCGTCGTGCGGGCATAGGTAGCCATCCCGTGCCCGTGTAGTAGCGGTAGTATTAGTAGTAGTAGTAGTAGTAGTATTATCGGAAAAGTAGCGTTTGATTCCCGATAGGCCGCGACGGCAGCGGTTCTTATGCGCGTGGAATAAACCCACGTTTGCAAATGTCAGTCCACAGCGCTGGCACTCCCGCACCGGTGGAGTCACCACCGGTTGCCAACAGTCCGGCCGCCGATCGCAACGCTTCGTGTGTTCCTTTAATTGGCGGCAGTACTGAAACCAATCGCCGCAACCCGTGAACGGGCACCGGAATCCGTAGGCCGGCGATCGGGGCCCGACATTGCTGGGCGACTCACGCCGTCTGTCCACTTGTATGCCGGCCGCGGTGTCCTGTTTTGGCTCATTTCTAGTAGTGGTCAGCTTTATGTAGCCGTCGGGCAATCTGTTCGGACATTAAAACATATAATTTTATTATACAAATAGTATAGCAGTTATGCGACAGTACTTCTCGTTAATGTCCGGCGCCAGAGATTTTGGCTTTACATCACTCGGCGATCGGTTACGTGCGGACCGTTTGGGCGCCGGAACTCTACAAATGAATTCAATATCAGAGTCCGAATCACTTGAGTGTCAAAAAGTTTAACAAAAGTTAGACAATAAGTTTTCAGTACAATCAGTGATAGAATACTTTTTAAGAGTTATGTCCAACGATTGTCTGTCGGGTCTGGAGGTAGAGGTTGTGATGATTGGCAGTTGTGGCGGAGGATTAGTGGCAGTGATTGTAGGCATCTGTTGTCTGCCATCGGGTGCTCTACTCCTGAACTGGTCTCCGGCATCGCATGATGTGATGAGACTTAATAAATGGGCTAATAATTACTGAATGTCCCAAAACACAGACACAAACACATACTTATGTAGAGTATTGTCCACCCATTGGCTGCCGGGACTGGAAGTAGTAGTGTTTTTGAATATTGTCTGATAGACTGAATGGCCAGTTGTATTGATCGGTGGTATGTGTTGTATGTAATCAAGTGCTGAGTGTTGTTCCCCGAACTGTGCGCTGCCATCAATGGCATGTCTTTGCCTGATATATAAGTCCAATTGGTTTTGAGTGGCGAACCCTTTGTCGCATCCGTCGTAATGGCATTTGACTGACTTTTGGCGGACAAACGACTCGTCGATCCACTCGTATAAGTGAGTCAACGCTCGACTGCAAAGACACAGATATTTGTCACTAAAACAGATTCAGAGGGCTATGGGTTGGTGTGGAGGGAAGGGGTGGTAGGGGTAGCACTCAATGACCCTAATGTTGTGATTATTGTAATCATTAAATCAAATCACTAATACCTGTCGTCGTCTCTGGCGGTGATCGTCGCCGATGTCTTTGCGGACACCAATCGGTCAGACATTGAGGTTTGCGGTCAATGAAAGGCACTATACGTTGAGATTGACATTCATTATGTGTTTTGATTGGTTAACAGTCATTGAGTTTGTGTTTTATTTGATTAATTAACTCATAATTAAAACTTATCGTTCAAATTGTGTACAATTTATTTATTTATTTACAACTCTTATCGTATATTACATAACATGTGTTATCATTATTTGTACATAAATTACGGCTCACTATAAATACAAAATTAGAAACAGATTAATACAGAATTGAATGGTTTTGTAATAAAAGTTACAAAAGTTTTATTAGAATTAATGGACGTTTTATTTGTGTTCTAAAAGTTATAATATTATTGTTTTTATAAATGAATAAATGCCACAGTTTGCGTAATCACATGTTAATGTATCAGTTATTTTTGAGACAACAAGAGAGAGAGAGAGAGAGAGAGAGAGAGAGAGAG